ATTGAACCATGTATGATGATAAAAAACTATGCAAACAGTTTTCTAAAGTGGATAGCAGAAATCCCTTGTCTTTGAAAATTGAATTAGTTGATTTGAATATTATTTTCCTGGAGAAATCTTTAATTTTACAAGAAAAGCATTTTGTCCTCTCTCAAACACTGCTAAAAATTTCTCCTCTGTTCTATTTTCAGCATGAGTTGTATCAGCTCATGCCCAGACAGAATATGCCCCTGATCCAGCACCCCACCCTGTGGTGACAATGGCATGGGGAGGAGCACAAATGTCCAGCCAGACAGTTTCTGTGGTCTGGCAGGACTGAGGCTCTCCCATACTAGCCTCAGACCATGGCAGCCCATTCAGCCCATCTCTGTCAAGCCCAGAGCATCTGTCACTTGATCTTTGAGAATAATACAAAGATTCATCTCAATCATCCAGTCCTATTATTACTTCAGCAAAACTTCTGACAGCTCCAGAAGCACTAAATTCCTCACTATAAAAAGACAATATCTTAGGGTCACACAAGTGCTTAATAGTTTTTAATTAACATTCTCAGTCCTTTTGCAGGTTAGATTGGGATATGAGTCATTCAGATAGACTTCTTCCCAAAAGATTACTTCACTGACTAAGAAAAACAATAAACTATTATAGATTATATAAGTGAGACAAGAAACCAATTAGATTTTTGACAACCAAGAATCTAATTTTCATTGGCATGACAAGGCAATTGGCTTCCCACTAGGCATAAGCTTTTAAATCTAGAGTCCTATTTCTCAGTTGTGTGCTTGGGGAACAGTTCCTCCTTCAGGATAAAGATTACAGAAGATGTTGTTATATCTTCTGAAACCGTAATTATTTTAGCGCCAAAATCTGAAGTTTATTCTAGTGAAAATTTTGTAATAGTGAATGTGGTAATCAGGCCTTGGAACTTTGAACACATCAGCAAATCATTCACAAATTACCTCCCAAAATACATAAGATAGGTTAAAGAAAATAGTTATTTTACCCTCTGAAAGTTCCCTTTTCTAATATGTCCTCTTTTTTGTTTTGATGTAATTTATGGCTTTCCAATTCTATTACACTGATAGAGACATGAAGTGACAAAAACTCCTGACAGTGATTTTTCAAAGAACAGCATTAAATCTTCATGGAAATTTATGCTTCTCTGCTTCTTTTTCTGCAGCATTTACAGTTCATAGGAATAATTGGGTATTGAAGCCCAAAGGAGTAGTCTACCTGGAAGACTCATTCTCTGATTAATAATTCTGTTTTGGAAGATGAATGGGATTTTATCTTAAAACAAGTTTAGACAAAACTGGCTTCTTTTCTAGGAAAAGCTGTGGCAAACAAATGCAAAACCTGCTCTCAGCTCTGAATTACTTTTTGTATTTCCAGATAAACTATATATTTAATAAAATGTTCCTGATTTGTTTTAAATATCAAATCTGCTAAAATGTTAGTGATAATCAATCCAAGCCAGTCTATGATTCTAAGATAAAAAAGGACAGGGAAAAAAATAACCAACTTCCTTGTCCTTGAGTCAATGGAAAAGCGAGAAATAGAACTGAGCAGGGCCCAGCCTATGAGTGGCATCTCAAATACCAGAATGAAAAATGGTTGGAATGACTGGTATCGAAAGCCAGCCCTCATGGGTAGTTCCCACACAATGGCATCCCCTGGCAAGCAGGAAATATCTCCATTATCTAAGATCCTGTTGCATGGCAACAGCCGGTGAGTGTTGACTTGTTAGCAGTACCCACTGTACACCAGAGTGACATCACCAACACAATAAGTGTTCATGAGGCAGCAGAAGTACAAAATTACTTTTAGTCTACAAATTAGATTTTGACAGTTTAGCAAACAGATCTCAAATAATAGGGGGCAAGGCTCAATTATTAATCACAGAAGCACTTTAATCCATGAGAAAACATGCAATAAAAATGGAAAATGTTTCAGGGTAGATAAACCATGAGATATTTTATCATTATAAAGATTCAGTTTGATGTGAGACATGCTATAAAGACATTATTTGAGCTTGTATAAACAAGAAAAATTTTTTTTTTGGTAATGCTAAGATCTAGATTTTGATCTGATAGGCTGAGAATAGGCAGATATAGGCACCCCACATGATGCAGCAGAGGTCAGTTACACATGTGTCTATTCACTGCATTGACAATAGAAACTTTTGAGTTGACTCAAAGTTTTAAAATTCTACGTAGATGTGAGAGAATGAGCTGAAAACATATTTCAAGCTAAATTCTCAAGTCACCTAAGTCCTTAATATCTTAAGCAGGCAAAAATTTATAAGATTTAAGTGCCTGTTGTAAATGTGTTTGTCTTTCAGACCTTTACATGTATCTATGCACTCTCAGAAAGCTGAAAATTTTATTCAGTGGAAGTGGTTATGTAAAAATAGCAGTTCTGGCAACATACTTCCCACCTGTATATCATCCCTGTGCGTTACAGAAACAAGAAATATATTCTCAAAAAAAGCTAAAATTCTTCCAGAAGTTTGGACTATTATCCTCTGTTTCACATATTGTATTACATGAATAAGAGAGAATTGTACATGCAAGTACTGACTGCAAAGTACTGACTTCATTACTAAGGTAGAAAAGACATCCATTGGGATTTCAGATCCTTGTTTTTCAGCACTAACAGGTAATAAAATTCTTTCTACTCACAAGTTAGGCCAATTTACTATGAAATTAATAAAATAATCAGCAAATCATCTTTCAGTTTCACATAGCATTATAAACCTACATTTAAAAACAGTTATACTTCAAAGACCACACCTCATCTCTAAAGCAGGGTTTGGTATCCTGATACAGAGATGAATGAATGCATATTAAAGAGATGTTTATAATTCAATTCAAAAATCCTCTTTGTGGTTCAGTATAGAAGACTGTAAGCAAAAGGACAGAAAATATAAGGAGTTTATTTAAATGGTGTCTGAACCACCTTTTTGCTTCCCTATGTGTTTCTGCAAGTTTCTGAGTGAAAGGAAGAACACAAGAGAGCAGGAATCTGTCAAGTTGTGTGTGATGTTTGGCTGAAGGATATCTACAGAGACCAGTAGTAAAGCTGAGTGGAGAAGGCCTCTGTCTGGGACCCAGTTCACCACAGCTGCTCCAGGCTTCACCATGGTCAACCCTGCCATCAGATCAACCCAAGGACAGGTCCAGGAATGTTCCCAAGGGTGCTGACTGGCATTGCTGAATGTATGCATTCACATCAAAACCAGAGAGTGTGAGGGGCAGAGGGTGCCTGCAGAGATCTCTGGGGATGGGCTCAAATTACCCCCACAGAGAGTACAAGCACATAACCCCTTTGTTTTGGGCCTTGTCTTGGTAAAACAGCTCAGATGGATGTATCTGCAGTCCACCTACCTTCACTGTTTAATTTGAAGTGAATTTTCTCATCTGAGTGGAGGAGACCTTAGGCCCAAATGGCTTAGATAGCTGCAGGGAATTAACAGCTCTGCAAAACAAATGAACAGTCTAAATTAGGGTTTTCCACAGTTGGAATTGTTCTCTTTTGTCATAAAATATATAAATATTAATTGGACTTGAGGTTTCAACTCTGTTTTTTAATTTTCTTTGTGAATCTCCTAGTCAATGGGCCCCACAATGCTTCCCTCTCTCCAATGAATCTTTAATTATTCTACAGGAAATAGAAGAGCTTCATTACCTTTCTTATTCTTAATATTAAAATACATTCATTAACAGGAAGAATTGGAGAGGAATTATTATTTCTCAAAGGGAAAATGTGAAAAGAGTGTAATATGAAACATATCAGATATTAAACATGAGCATTTATAGCAATTTTCAAGTAAAAAAGTGTCTATTGATTTCATCAGAGTACATCTGTGTTCAGACTTTTAGGAATGAGACTAAAATTCATATTTAAGGAGATGGTACCAGAATTTGGATTGAACCATGAAGTCAAGTGAGAAGCTCTTGCCTTAGGCATGGTGGAAATCTGTCTCCACCAGAATTTTACTTCTTCAAGGGTTTTCTTTTTCTTCTGTCCTAAGTGATATGAATTGTCTGCACAAGAGATGTTTAAGAGACCAAAACAAGGATAGTATAGGTAATTCACTATCAAAATTCTGCTAATAAGATAAGGCTACTGGTTTCATCTTGAGGGAAAATCACCATGGCCTGGCAAAGACTTTTTAACTTTTTCCTGTCTTTGCCTCTCTCATGCTAAGCCACCTTGCTACACACCCACCACTGCAAAGCCACGGGTGGTCAGTGAAAACTCCAAATGAAACCTGTTCCCACAGATCCTGATTGAAACTGGTAATTAAAAATGCTTTGTTTGTGTGCTCAAGAAGAAACCCACAACACAGAGTTTGTGATTATTACTCAGCTCACAGAGACAGGCATGTAAAGGTGCCTTTTCTCCATTTTTCAAATATTTTTTTCAAATATTACGAAATATCACTAGTGGGTGTTCTCATATTGCTAACATTTTCTTCTTGATGACTAATTAATAAAGATAATAGATCATTATAATGGTAATCAATTATGATTCTGTTTTGTATTACATTTTCACTTTAAACCCCCTTTGTATGCATATACTCATATTAATGTCATCTTCAAAATTTTGTGCAAGGATTCCATCCTTGTGCAACGATTCCTCAAGAGCTTTGAGTCACCTGGTTCATGTTCCATTATTCTACAGAGCTTAGCTTTCACAAGCCCAAATCTCAAATTGCTCAGATCTCACTTGACTTTTTAATATCAAGTCATTCTTCTTCCTTTGCTTGATCAGGCATTTTTCATTAATGAGAATTCTTGAGAACACAGTAGAATAAAGTTGAAAAAAATAACTTTGAAGAAAAGGAACACTACAAGAATATATGAATCTGATGATTCAACTAGCTCATGCTATTGTTCAAGTCCCCCACCTATAAAAGCTTGTCAATGCATCCTTTCTCTAGTAAAACTCAGTGCAACCAAGAGTGTCACGAGTCAACATGAGAACCTGAGGAGGCTGGGAGCCTGATTTTCTTGAAGCATGAATTGGAAAATAGATCTATATATACTCACTGTTACAACAGATGGTATGTTTTCTAATTTGGGTTAATCCACTACATGTTTATCTTTCTTATAAAAACCAGATTCCACAATCTTAATAAATATCTTAATGAATGTGTGTTATTTTTATATTGCAAATGGAAGAATTCATCTGCTTTAAACTTCCCTGAATGCAGAATTTAGTACAGAATGTGCCATTCTTTCACATAGGCAAAAAGAAATACTCGGTGACAATGTTTATTGTCTATTGTACATCATGAAAGACAGCAGGAAAATTCTTGTCACTGGAGCACTTGTTGCACAGACACATAAAATGTATGTATTAATTTCACTATTGCTCTGCTTAAATCTACACAGCGATTCTTTTATCTTTACAGGGGATCACCTCATACCAAAATCATCAAGGTTTCTGCTAAGTTTGAGGAAAGGTAGGTGGAAGGAAGGCAGGGAGGGAGGGAGGGAAGTAGATACGGAGGGAGGGATGGAGGAAGGGAGGAAGGAAGGAATAAAAATATTCATATGTGAAGGAGATCCGGGACCACACTGAGACTGATTAGCTGAAAGATAAAGAAAGATGTTTTACCTGAAAAGCTGAAAGAAATTTTGTCAATATTTGTTAACTTTGATGGTACCTAAATTTAGTTTTCCCCACTTGAGAAAACAGCAGCAAGGTTAGAAGCAAAGCTCAGTATTCTCAGAAAGATCCACAAACTTTGATGATTGTTCACGGAAGGTGAACCAGGAGATGAGGGCAAGGACAAGGTGATAAGGAAACAAAGCAAATCTGCTACTAGTCCTGGAGATTCCAACATTAGTTTGAGAACAGCTGGGATCAAGGCTGTGAGCACTCACATCTACGTTATAACTTAGGGCTGGGCTGGAGACCCTAGGCTATGGATGCCTCAGCAGCACTGAGCTGCCTGTCCAGAGCCACTGTTGTCAGCTATAGTAATACTACCAAAAGGCAAAGAATACCAGAAAATATTAGCAAACCAAACCCTACTTAGAATCCATAAAATTTTCATTTTTCCTCTTAGATGTCTTCATCTTGAAAAGAGAAGGTCTTAAAAAAAAAATACAAAGGCAGCTGTGCAGCATATTAGGGTCAGATACACAGATTCAAATGACCACTTGAAAGCCAATACCTTTTCTGAGATTTAATAGAGTCAAATTCAGTATTTTGACATTCTTTTTTTTTTTTTTTTTTTTTTTTTTTTTTTTTTTTTTTTTTTTTTTTTTTTTTTTTTTTAACAAATATTTCAGCACTTTCTGTTCCCTGAGAAGCTGAGAAGAGAGTATGTATAAAATCTCAGGAGGAAAATAAAGCCTACTTTCTTTTCCCATTCAACTTCGGGCCAGCTCAGAGAAGATCTAATTAAACCTTTGTATTTTCAACACTTGTCTGAACTGAACTCAAATTTTGAAGTTTGCTCCTTATTTTTTCAAACTGAAATCTAATTTATGTTTTATACTCATATACTGTGTAAAAACTTCAGGGGACTCAAAAAAGTTATGAAAGTCTGTTTCCTTCAAACATACTCCTAATGGATCTTGCTGAGTTCATCAAGGGGCTACACAACAAACTGTTAGTCTGAATATGGCAAGCTCGTTCTCCACCAAAGTGGTGAAGGTAGAAATACACATCTATTTTGAAATTTCCTTCTAAATAATCAGTAATAATCATCAGCAAAGACCCAACATTCATTGTATCACACTGAGTGCATTTAATGCACTTAAATTTGCTCAGTTTCTCCACTATTTATGCAATTGCACTTAGCAAATTCAAATTGAGAGGGTTTCCGAATTTCTTACTTTTCTAGATGGCTTTATGAAAATGCTCAATTGCTGCTGCACAATAAAAATCACTCTGAGCACATATTACAGGACAAAATCTAGGGAAACTGCACTATGAAGCAACAAGAAAACTGTTTAAAATTATACTATTTTGAAAATCTTCTCCAGATGATAAAAAAATAATGGTATAGACTGGTTTTCATTTTAGTTTTATATAACCTTGTATGATGTTATAAGCTGTAGGCCAAGAAGCACATCCCCATGTGCAGACTCCTTGCTTCAAGAACTGCTGTGGGTCACCTTTCAGACAGATAAATTTCTCTGAACCTGAAAGCTCCTTTTCTTCCTAAAATGTCCCATTCACTCTTCTACTGCGAAATCACATCTAATCATCTGACAAACTGAGAGCTGGAGGAGAAATGAGAGATTTTCAGCAATTCCTCAGGCAGCAGATCACTCCAGGTCCCTTCCTCCAGAGAAAGGCTGCACAGCACCTCATCCACAGACCTGGACACTTCTGCATAAACCAGACACTGCTGGGAAGCACTAAAATGGGTGAGGGTACTGGGTGCTGCTGGTACAGGCAGGGTCTCCCACTGGCCCATCTGTTGGCACCATCCTTTTTTTCTGCTATTCAAGACCAGAAGGGAGAGAAACCTCTTCAAGAATGGTGGTCAAATTTTGTTGTCCTCTCCTCTATGGCTATTAATCCAAGGAAAAAAGAGATTATTTTCACTGCAGCATTGCCAGGCATTTCATGTACTATTTCTCCTAAAAGCCTGTTTTTCACTAGTCCTATAAAGAAGCTTATGACATCTTCTTAGATTTTCCTTCCCGTCTCTTCCTTCTGCTGCCTGCTGCCTTTTGTTCTTATTCTATTTTCTGTCTTCATACCAGCTTAAACCCACTTTATGCTACTTCCCAACATCAACACATGATTAAGTATTTCTAATGTTCTTTGTGACTGTAAAGAAACATCTAAATATAGCCACACTGAAATCCGATTCTCAAGGAGATTGTTGGTTAAATATTGTCCCAGGGCATGTTATATTCCAATACCTATTCACACTTACTGAAATCAATACCATATGTCATATTTCTAGTACTGCACCAGAATTCTGGGTAGAAAGAAATACCTGTGGTCACCCATGGTTTGATGAAATCAAGAGTTTAATTTTTTTATATTAATTTCCATTACAACATCTTTACAAACACTGAAAGGATAGGCATGTGTGGACCTCCATGTGGGTTTGTACACAACAGAGTCCGTCTGACAATGAACAAGGATGGGGATTGCAGGGGTGGAGGAGACTGGGTGAAATAGTTCATCTACGTCTTTTCCCAATGCCAAAACAAATCTCTATGGCTTTCTGCCAGAGCAGTGCTTTCACATTCAATAAGAAATGCAAAGGGAGGAGGCTTTAAGCACTCTTCTAACAATGAAGTATGCGCATTCAGGCACTGGAGCAGAAAGCATCCTGAAAAAGGCCAATGTGATATGACGGGGTCTGTAAAACTTTTTTGTACAAATATTTAAGCTGATGGGGAGAAAAAAAATAATTGGAGCAAAATAAAACCTGTGTGTATTCTTTTCCAAGACTCAAATTTCCCTTGCATGAAAGGAAACTTGTCTCTTGCTTCAAATATATTGCTATAAAACTAAGACCATATAATTTTTTTTCTGAAAAGACAGGAAAAATTCTAATTTTTATTGTTAAGAATGTGACAATGTGAAAAGGATATTCCACAGGTAGGTAGAAATTTACAAAAAGCTTTGTTAGAGTAAAAGCAAAGAAATATATGGAACTTTTCAAATGTTAAAATATTTCAACTCAGTTTCTTAGGAGTGCGTTTTAGAGCTATACATGAATTAGCCAAATGGCAGCCTTACGATTATCAAGAGTATTCAATATTCATCTGATGTCATCAGTAATTCCTACTTAGATTAAACATGCATTTCTTTCTGTCCTGTATCTCCTCTCAAGGAAGTACTCTTTCCTGCCTTGCAGCTGTTTTATATTTATTCCATATTTTCCACATGGTCAGCTCCAAATTTCTGTTACAGTCACAGCACTGCACAGAGTTCAGAAAAAGATTGTATGTACTTTTCTCACAATTCTCTCTCTAATTATTTTGTCAAAGTTACAGGACCTCCACTTTCCTTCTTTTCCATTTGCAATGAAAGAGAGAACAACCTGCAGACAAAGAGAAAGACATGGAACTGATGGGCTGCAAACAGCTCTGGGACTCAAAGGGTCCAGATAAATTCTTCCACTCACATATGCTACTGCCTGCACAGGCAGAGGCAAGAAAAGGATCAGGAAGGAGAACACAAGCTGAAGGTCTCTGTCACTGGTACTGCCTTATACCTTCTCCTGTCCTTCAAATTGCAGCTAACATCCAAATACCCTTTTACTGACCCAGCTAGTTTTCATGTGCATGCTGATATTTGTTGCCACACTGCTCTGAATTATAAAAGTGACTTAAATTCCCACTTACTCTTAGCACTTGGCAGCTCTGATCATAAGCATGTTAAGTTTTACATTGTAGAGATTTGCAATTTTATAGTGTTCTGTGCTGGATAAAAATCTTATGACAGCTGTAATGAAGGGGAAATGCCAACACATAGAAAGATTTTATTGAAATGTTTATAACAGAAATCATCAACCATCTACCATCTCGAGCTAGGAAGTAGAGAAAGCTATGTATAAAGTCATTGCTTAATTCAGAACATCAAAACTTTATGCAGCACAATCTGTACAACTCATGAGGAATGAATTAAATTGGGCAACATTAGCAACAGGCAATTCCAAGATCTTCAGCAAGCTGAGGCACTACATTATAAAATTTCTCCCAATTCACCATGAGTACTGGCAGGCAAACATCATGGGAATTGCCACATAATAAATGGGAACACATACAGATCAGTAATTTCCCTGCCCTCCATTAAATATCAGCCAGATAGGTTTAGGGATTACATCTATTTGTGAAAATCAGGTATGGTCAAGGTCTTGTTGCACAGGTCTGCAGAAGCATTTTCTCAGCCTTTAATCTGCAGGATATACCCTGTCATCAGCCCCATTGCTGTGGCTATGAGTGGCTGGTTTTGGCTCCAGAAGCAGCAGAAAGGGAGAACAGTCTCTAAACGACAGAAGACAGGTACAAATTTTTGCAGCCAAATTATCAGGTGAGAATAAAATTCTGTCTTGTTCAGGCAGAGGAGTGTCTTATTCCAACAGGATCCTCTGGGGTGTTGCCCCATATCCATCAACCTGCCTTTGCGACTTTACTCACAAAAGCTTTTTGGCAAGCTCTTCCAAGAGGCCTTCAAACACAGAAGCACCATCAATATCTTTGGTATCCTAAATGCTCTGAGAATAACTAAGCCTAAAACCCAACTCTTACATACCGCACACCCAAATTCTAATGATGGCAGTTTTTGTTTTTGTTTTTGTTCTTCTTTTTGGTTTTTTTTTGTTTTGCTTCCTCTATCATTACCTTGGCAGCTGGTCTTCCAAGTTCAAAAACACATTAGCAAACAATGCTGAGCAATTTGACAACAAAACTAGCAACTCACTTCTGTGAGTTCTATGACTTCCCTTGTTTATATTCTGAGGCTCTCCAACACCACTCAGGCATCCCACTTGGTTCTGGGAAGGCCTGTCTGCTCATATCAATGCTACAGAACTATTACTGGTAAGCCACACCTGCAGAAGGATGTAATCTGAGACCGTGCTGTTTCTCCTGCACTATTCTGCTGTTCACATGCTTGTAGTAACATATATACACCATCTGAATATACCAAAATTCTTTAATTTTCATTTTTCATGAATATTGTAGAGTTGAAGGATATTCCAGAGTCTCTGTGGATATAATTGCCAGGGTTATGCAGTCCTGAGCCACTCCTATTTTCTGGCTGTGAGGGATACACAGAGGTGAGCAGTGTGCTGACACACCTGCAGCCTCAGACATGTGAGTGCCATCAGGCCTGCTCTTGGAGTAGGAAGCTCTGCTTCTGCTGTGCATTGTGGTCAGCAGGTTGGGATGAGTTCCCAGTCCCAAAGCCAGAATTTCTGCATACTCAAGGTAACCATTTCATGACGACATGGGAGTTGAAAAAGAGACACTTTCATGGCTGAACTCACATGTTGCTCTTAGATTGGCAAGAGCCAGTCTGAATTTGTCTGAATTTTTCTGTCTGAATTAATCTCTGGAGATTTATAAATGATTGGAAATACCTAAATGAAATTAATGCACAAACTCCCATCCAACTCAATAAGTCTTGGATTTTAATTCTTAAACATTTATCAAAGAAATTTCTTGAGCCATAGATAGCTCAAGTGTCACCCATGATGGAGGCAGAGAGATAAAGTAAAATTGATCAGTATCTTTTATGGTTGCTTCAAAATTTCTAAAAGTGTACTTTTTTGATCCATGGTAGATCTTTTATGAAAGAAAAGGAACCTTTTAAGAGAATGAAGAAAGAATCCTTTATGAAAGAAAAGGATTAAAGCCAAGAATCCTTGATTTTATAATGTACTTTGTTTTCCAAAATCCTTCTCACACTAAGTTCTGCAGACAGTTCACTTCAAAACAAGATGCTCCTCACTCTAGAGAAGAGCAAGGAGTTTCTCCCAGGGAGTAATCTGTTACACTCTGAAAACTCAGAGGCATGCAGAG